CTCACCTCTGTCCTGGGCAAGGTCTCCTGCTTGCCCAGCTTTTACAAGGAGGGATGTAACCCCAAAATATCACCAGGTGTGTTCTCTGCACTGGAGCCTCAGCAACTGCCTCCACTTGTTCAAGAATTCAAAAGCAAAGCTGAGCATGCCTTCCAGCTGGATCTACAGGAGAGGACCCGAACCCAACCTTGGGCTGCAGTTCTGCAGGGGTGGCTGCCAAGGTGAGAAACTTGCTCCAGAGCAGGACCTAGAGGTGGGAAGTGTTTGCTGTCTGCTGGAGAGCTTCCCCATTGCATGGACAGCAGGTCCAGCTGGAGCATTGCACCCAACATGCAATCCTCAGGCTGACCACCTCGCGCTGGCTGCTTGTGCCAGGAACAGGTGGTGGGAAAGGCTGGTCTCTCCCAGGATAGGACATGGCAAGCTTGCTTTACTTCTGTGTTATGAGGCAGCCTTTGGCTGCCAGAATGTGGTCACTGAGAAAAGGTTTTCCGTGTATGACTTGGAGTGTGCAGGGTTGTGTGTAGGACCCCTATACTTGCTGCAGAAAAGAGCATGGGTAATGAACGAGGCAGGAGCTGCAGGAAGGCATGGGCTGTAGATCTGGAGAGCCAGTCTATCCCTGTCTTCCCTTTAGGATACGGGCATAACCCAATGTTCACCAGTGCTCTTGTGGAACATTGTCTTTGTTTTCTAGATTCCTGAAATCCTACCATGTGACTTGCAGACATCACACGTACCTTCAATTGAAGACAACAGGAAGCAGACTTTGCAAGTACAAAGTACCACGTAAGGCCAAGTGCTCAGAAATGTCAGGTCCTGGGTGTCTCAAAGCTAACACCCAAATGTTTTTCTCTTAGTTTCTCTGAATCTAAGCTGCCATAGCTAAAACAGTCATGCAGTGCTATAGCTGCTGGGCAAACCCTGCTCAGCTCCAGCCAGGTTGGTGCTTGGTGCTGAGGGCATCTTCAGGGAAACAAAGGTATATATGCATGGCTGTAATTTGGCAAAGGCAGCCTGCATCTGTCCTTGGAAGTACTACCAAATTTCTGTGAGGGTCACATCCTGACATGGCAGCTGGCCACCTCTCGCTCTTCAGGCTCTTGGTCCAAAAGTGAGGCTTTTCTAGGTGCCCCAGATTTGTCTTGGAAAATTGCACAAACTGCAGCAATATATTTCTGCCTTGCTGCATGCGTAGAAACTGTTGGTGTCTTTCTGCTGACATTTACCAAAAATATTCATCTGGAGGCATATCCTGATATATAAATTTCAGTTCAGGGATTTCAATGCAAATTCACAAGCTACTCTATAGACCTTACAGTCCTGTAGGAGCAGTTGTCCTGCAAATCAAATATGAACAGTCCAAGAGGATGTAGACTAAGGGTCCATCTAGCTCAGCCTTAATATCTCCAGATGTGGCCACAGCAGACCCTTTGAACAGAAAGGCAAATATTTGTGCTGCCTCCCTCAAGTGCACTCCCAGCCTCCAACCATTCTCATTTTACAAATCATCTTGAGTTTATTGCTTTGAAATCCAAGCCCTGACTTAGGCACATGGAAATTTCGTTGCCATCATCATGTCCCTTGGCAAGGAGCTCCTCATATGAAGAGCTGCTTCCTTCTGTTAATTTTGAACCTGGCTCTTGCCAGCTTCATTTGACGGTCCATGGTTCTTGCTCTGGGAGAGACAGTGAATAATCGCTATTTGTCCCTCTTTCTAGGCCACTCATCATTTTGCAGACTTCAATTCCCCTGCTAGAAAGTCTTGATCCCTCTGGAAAATACCTCTTCTCATCTGAGATCTTGCTTGTCTGTCTTGGAACCTCACCACTCTGCGATTGCTGACTTCCCCCACTCATTATCTTTCTGTTTCCAGCTGATTTGGTTTTACCAAAGTTTCCTACATTAGTGATCTGGCAGCTCCCAGGGGCACTGTGATAATGTGATTCCCCCAGACATGACTCCAACCTAAGAGTCCGTGTGGTGGAGCAGGCTGCCTTCAGGACTAAGAAAAGACTTCCTCCTGCATCCCAAATCTGGTCTGATGATGGATCCAAAGATACCATGTGTGGTTTCTATCGAAAGCTGAAACACACCATAAGGCAGAGGTTTTACAGACTCCATAAATAGCTCCTGTTTAGGATGTATGATATGGAGGAGGTTTTAGAAATCAAAATATTTAGAGATTTGTGTTATTTGTCTTGGCAGGCAGGAGCAGCCAAGACTGTAATACAAAATCTTCCTTCAAGGAAGGAACAGAGTTGAGGAAAACAGTGAATAGGGAGAGTAACAGAGGTGTCAAAACCTCCGAGAATTCCTTTTGCAATGAATGGAAGCAGGAAACACAGCCTGGTATATCTGAAAGGAGAGAGAATTCACTGAAAATGTCTAGGCACATTTATATTCCTGATAGAAAATATTGATTTTTCAGAATGAATCTTGACATTTCCATCAAACCCATATTTGAATATTGCAAGAACATCCAGAACATTCAGCTAAAAGCAGCTCCAAGCTGGGCTGTGTTGGTGTGAGCTGCATCAGCAAGGATGTCTCCAGCTCATTCCTCAGCCTGTTCTCCTCCTCTCAGTTTTATTCTAGTCCCTGTGTGAAGATGTGTAACAGGAATGTTAAGATTCTTCAGAACAGGGAATGTGTGCAAATGTTGGGTCTGAAAGCACTGGTAGAAATGGCAGGAGCAGGGCTACCAGAATGGTAGACTTTGGTGGCACCTAGGTAAGCAGGTCATCAGTGCATCATGATCATCTCGTCTCATCTCATCTCAATCTCGTCTCTCCATGTGGTTTCCCAGTCTGCCACTTGGTCAGACCCATCTCCAAGCCTCTTTCTAGCACTTCCAGCCTCAATCTGCCATCTGTTGCCTCAGGCAGGTGTGTCAGTCTTGGTCTGTTGGGTGGTGGGACCTCCTGCCCCTGGAGGTGCAAGGCTCTGTGCTACCATCTGAATGGACTCTGGAGCACATGACAAGGGAGATTATAGAGCAGGCAGGCTCCCAGATGAATCCTGAGATCCTTGGCTGTTCAGAGTGGGGTACCATGAGTCCTTCTCTGCCACAGGTGGGTAAAGCCGCACCCTTGATTCAGGCTGTCCTGATTCACTCTTGCTCTGGGATTTTAATCCCTTGGCATGATCTGGGATGGCAGCAATCCCATCAATGGGGAAAGAAGATGCAGAGAACCGAAAGGATGTGCCAAGGCCTTCAATGCTGTAAGGCTGGGGACTGAGCTACGATGGCTGCAGAGGAACCATGGGTTGTGGGCTGAATGGGGGCTGTGTCATGGGAGATGCCTGTCTCTGCTAAGGAAGAGTCTTTCCAAAAGCTGTGCTGGCAGCATGTGCCCTGGGGTCCGAGGGCTCTGCAGGCAGACTTTTCCTGGCTGCCCACTCTGCAGGCTCCCTCGAGTATGGGCTCCCTGCCTCCATGGCAGCAAGGCACCCACATGTGGTTTCACCCTGGCTCAGTTTTGCTCATGCTTGGTTTTAGTGAAACAAAAGGCTCTGTGTAAAACAAATCCTGCAATGCCACCTAGCCCACACTTTCTAACAAGTCTGGTTCAGTTTTTCAAAGAGTTCAGTCTACTAAGACATGATGATGATGTGTATCATGCCCTGGAGCACTTGGGAGCCCCAGGCCTGGAATCAGCCGGTGCAGGGAATATCCTCATTTCCCTTCTAGCTCTTTCTCTGGGTTCCTACAAGGCCACCACTTTGGACAGTGGTTGCTTTTTTTGTAATCATCCTCCTCCATAGAGGAGCTAGGTCCCTTTCTTCACTGGACCATCATGAAAGGCAGCCTGCTCGTGTGGCTTTTCCACTGTGGCTGTGGTTGTCCAGTGCCCAGACATATTCACTAGCACCATGAAGACCTCGCTCTTCCTCCAGTGTCCTGAGGCTTCAGCCACAAGCCTTTGGGTGGAAGTCAGCGGAGCCCTTCTGCAAGGATGTGGCATTTCCAACAGGAGTTTCTCTGCCAGCACAGTGACACCATTCCTGTCCCAAACAATATGAGCTGAACCAGCAAATCTCTTCTGTATGTGTCTGTGGCTGCTGGGACGATGACAGAGCTATGTCAGGAGGACGTTGGTTCTACACTGTTGGAACCAAATAATCATCTAAGTCAACTCTGCTGTGCTAATAGAGTCATGAGCTTCTAAAGCTCTTTGTAAACATTAATGGCCAATTCTCATGTTCATGGGTAACATAGTGCTATTTTAGCTGTCACTGGTATTTGTGAAACTGCAATGTAGCGACAGAACCAGTTTCCTAATGACTTTCTGCAAGTGAAGGTCAAGAACAGGAGAGGAGCCCAGACCTGGGGTGGTACTGCGCTCTACCCTCTGCTCTGCACGCTTACATACTGATGGCCTTCTGGGTCCCATGGAGAAAACCCCTGTCTCCTTGGGTCAGTGCTGCATCAGGGCACTGCATGGCTGCTGTGTGCCCCACCAACCCACTTGGTGGGCAGCCAGGGACAGCTGCCTGTCTCACGGACTCTCCCTGCTCCAGTGAGAAGTGAATTGTCCCCAATTTGTCTGTGACGCAGATATTCTAGGAAACACGAGTACATGGCAGCCATGGTCATTCTCCATCTCTTGCCATCATGTGACTTCTAGGCAAGAGGTCCATCTACCAATCTTCTAGGTTCTCTACAGAGTTCTTTGGTCAGGGGAAAGGAAAAGAGAGGTCATATCCTGTTCTCTATCATTTCATGGTATCATATCATTACATAATATGCCACGTCAGGGCTCTATTCTAATCGGGGCTCCGGGCACTTCCCTCCACAGCACTGCGCAGCACCCTTGACACAGCACTTTTTCCATTGTGTCATGTCATGTAGCAATGTTTCTGGCATGTTTCCATCCTCGCTCACTGTCTCCCTCTGTAAAGCGGGCTGAACCCAGGGATCCCACATCAGGCACAGCAAAGGGCTCTCTGCAGCAGTCTAGCCTGACTCCTACAATTTATCTCCACCCAACAGGAGCATGAAGACCTCCACAGCTGCCCTTGCTGTACTTTTTGTGGTTGTCCCCTGCTACCAGAGGTGCTACCTCTTCTCCAAGTGAGTCCAAGCTCTCTGAGGAGCTCCCTCCTCTTTCTTGCTGCCATATAAGATCTAGTAATGCTTTGCAGCTCTCCCTTCTGAGCATCTGCCGTGGGGAAGGAGAGGCACATCTTGCTACTCTTTGGCTTCCTGAGGGAAGGATGGCTGTGGTGGGAGCCCATGGTGGGAGCAGCACCTCCTCCAGCAGGGACCTTCTGGTCTTCTGACCCTGCTTCTCCCCACTGGCGCTTTTCCTGGTCTGGTTTAATCAGAAAACTTAACTTCTCTTCCAGCTTCTGTCAACTTTTCTGGTCCCTGCTGCATCCAATACCACACCAAAGTGTTTCCCTCAAGCCGTGTGGTGATATATGAGCACACAGGCAGCCAGTGCTTCCAGCCAGCTGTGATGTAAGTAGATCTCCTGCCCAAATCCTGGGGGACCCTGCTCCACTGAAGGGTGGCAGTGCCAGGATACCCCACATCACACCCCATCTTGGCAAGGGAAAACACCAGGCTGGGCTCTCCTGTGTTAGAACAGCCTGGAAATGTCTCAGAGGCCAATCCCACATCACAGGCAGCCAGTTTCTGGACCTCCCTATTAGATCTGAGCCAAAAGAGCTTCTGCTGGTCATCCCCCTCATCTCCAGAGAGGGGAACCCAGGCAGGACAGTGTTCCTTCCAGCTGGAGTGGGCATGCTGGGGATGAAGTGGCTTAAGTGGCAGAGAGCAAGACCTGTAATGACATTAAGCCAACCCCCCATCCCGTATTTCCTTGAGGCTGTTCTGCAGCTATAGAGGTGGTTTGGTGGAGTTCACCAGTGGCAAGGAGCAGGTGGTCCTTCTCTCCTCTAAGCTCCTCTCCTCTCTGCTCCTCTCCTCTCCTCTCCTCTAAGCTCCTCTAAGCTCCTCTCCTCTAAGCTCCTCTCCTCTCAAGCTCCTCTAAGCTCCTCTAAACTCCTCTAAACTCCTTTAACTGGATTTCCTTTTGCAGATTTACCACAGTCACAGGCAGGATGGTCTGTGGCAAACCTGTTAAGAAGTGGGTCCAGGACATCCTGAATCACCAGAAGGACAAGGCAGGCAGTGGATAAGCAATGCCCTGCTCCCTCCAAACATCACCTCTGTGAGGACCTTCTCCCATGGGCACCTCCGAGACATGTCCCATTTTTTTTTATTGCCTGTGAATTTGGCAGACTATTTAATACAGTGCTAGCTCTTTTATTTAAGTTTATGCAAAGGTATTTTTAATTTATTTGGCATTTTCAGTGAAACTTTCCATTCTAATTTGTACTGATTGTGTTGAAGTTATTTTGTGTAATAAAAAGGAGCAGAACCTGCAGCTTCTCCCACTGGCTCCCGGGATGCTTCATGGAGGCTATGGTGGGCAGCGGCAGCTGGGAGGGGGTCCAGGCTGACATAGATGGGTCTGCAGGGCGGCAGGGCGGCTCCCAGCTGCCCCCCAGCACCTCCGTGCTGCACAACCCAGCACGGCGGAGCCGTGCTCATCCTGCCCG